TTTGACTTAACATTGTATTAGAGGTCAGCCCCGTAACTTTAACTATGACCGCAGGCAACCAGCCCGCCTTGACTTAACATTGTATTAGAGGTCAGCCCCGTGACTTAATATTGTCCTAACTTAACTATGACCGCAGGCAACCAGCCCGCCTTGACTTAACATTGTATTAGAGGTCAGTCCCGTGACTTAATATTGTCCTAACTTAACTATGACCGCAGGCAACCAGCCCGCCTTGACTTAACATTGTATTAGAGGTCAGCCCCGTGACTTAATATTGTCCTAACTTAACTATGACCGCAGTCAACCAGCCCGCCTTGACTTAACATTGTATTAGAGGTCAGCCCCGTGACTTAATATTGTCCTAACTTAACTATGACCGCAGGCAACCAGCCCGCCTTGACTTAACATTGTATTAGAGGTCAGCCCCGTGACTTAATATTGTCCTAACTTAACTATGACCGCAGGCAACCAGCCCGCCTTGACTTAACATTGTATTAGAGGTCAGCCCCGTGACTTAATATTGTCCTAACTTAACTATGACCGCAGGCAACCAGCCCGCCTTGACTTAACATTGTATTAGAGGTCAGCCCCGTGACTTAATATTGTCCTAACTTAACTATGACCGCATGCAACCAGCCCGCCTTGACTTAACATTGTATTAGAGGTCAGCCCCGTGACTTAATATTGTCCTAACTTAACTATGACCGCAGGCAACCAGCCCGCCTTGACTTAACATTGTATTAGAGGTCAGCCCCGTGACTTAATATTGTCCTAACTTAACTATGACCGCAGGCAACCAGCCCGCCTTGACTTAACATTGTATTAGAGGTCAGCCCCGTGACTTAATATTGTCCTAACTTAACTATGACCGCAGGCAACCAGCCCGCCTTGACTTAACATTGTATTAGAGGTCAGCCCCGTGACTTAATATTGTCCTAACTTAACTATGACCGCAGGCAACCAGCCCGCCTTGACTTAACATTGTATTAGAGGTCAGCCCCGTGACTTAATATTGTCCTAACTTAACTATGACCGCAGGCAACCAGCCCGCCTTGACTTAACATTGTATTAGAGGTCAGTCCCGTGACTTAATATTGTCCTAACTTAACTATGACCGCAGGCAACCAGCCCGCCTTGACTTAACATTGCATTAGAGGTCAGCCCCGTGACTTAATATTGTCCTAACTTAACTATGACCGCAGGCAACCAGCCCGCCTTGACTTAACATTGCATTAGAGGTCAGTCCCGTGACTTAATATTGTCCTAACTTAACTATGACCGCAGACAACCAGCCCGCCTTGACTTAACATTGTATTAGAGGTCAGCCCCGTTACTTAATATTGTCCTAACTTAACTATGACCGCAGACAACCGGCCCGCAACTATATTACTAATGTTTTTCTTTGCAGTGAGAGTAGCGTTAGCCGTGTCACAATTCATTCAATATTTAACAATATTCCACGTATATATTTTACACACGGAATGGAAAAACAAGCTTAGAGGTTATATCGATTCCCTTAAAAATGATAAGTTAGAGTAACGAAACATCAATCTATTGTTAAACAACAAAGCCATCGAATGCAAACCCCTTATTTAAGGAGAGCCATGAGTCATGTATGATAAACATGTTTGAGACTACGATATGTTACCGTCTTTCCTTTGGTAAGGTAATTTTTAATATTTTCAGAAACTTTTTTTAACATTTTCGATTAACCATTTCTACTTGTCTCCTTGTTCAAATGCTCGCTATTACAATTTCAAATTTCAATTTCATTATAAAACTTTGCGTTCAGTTGATTTTATTCGACTGCAAAGGACGTTGGGGTCAATTTCAAAGGTAACACCTTTAGTAACGGGTATGGCCACCGTTTGCGAAGTAAACAGCATTGCAGCGTCGCCGCATGGAACTCGTAAACCGGCGGATAATTCGAGGAGAGATGTTGTTCCATTCAGCGATCAAGGCTTGGGCCAGCTCCTGCAAGTTTGACGGCTGATTTTGACGTTCTCTCACGCGTCGCCCTAGAACGTCCCAGACATGCTCAATCGGTGACAAATCAGGTGATTTAGATGGCCAATCTAACACCTGTACGTTATTCTGCTGCAAGAAAGTTCTGCTGACGCGACTGGTGTGCGCTGGTGCATTATCCTGTTGAAAAATGGCGCCAACGCCATGGCGTCTAAGAATGGCAGAACCACTGGTCTTAAAATTTCGTCCCGATATCGAATGCCGGTTAAAGTGCCATTTAACACAACAAGCCTGGTACGAGTCCCCCAACAAATACCACCCCAAACCATTACACTTCCGCCGCCAAAGCGGTCCCGTTCTGCGACGCAGCAGTTCGCAAAACGCTTCCCTCGTCGCCTCCACACTCTGCGCCTTCCGTCACCGTGTTGCAGACAAAACCTGGACTCATCTGAAAACAGAACATTGTTCTATTGTCGTAAGGCCCAACGACGGTGAACACGGGTCCAGTTACGCCGATTATTACGGTGACGTCGCAACAAATTGGGTCCAGTGTAGGGACGCCGCGCTTTCAATTGGTAGGCCCTCAACCTGTTGCGGACTGTTTGGGGAGACACACAATGCCCAAACAATGTCCTTGTAGTCTCTACTGCGGTTACGAATCGATTGCGCAAGTGTATCAATCGTATACGACGGTCATCCCTGGCGGTCGTTTTACGGGGTCGGCCGCTTCGGGGACGACCGGATGTTGACCCAGTTTGGTTTAAACGACTTACCAACTGGCAAATTGTCTTAACACTGCAACCAAAATGCCGTGCAACTCGACGGCGAGACTCCCTAGCCTGGATCATGCCTACAGCCCTTTCTCTCTGTACTTGTGACAGCCTGGGCATAATGATAAAGTTGATAGATAGCAAGATTCGGTGATTTCTAAGTCCTAAGGATCTAAGGAACAGTTGTCAGTTTAAATGTTTATGAAATTCAAGCGCAGAAAACTCGTGCAGCTCTTTCGCTAATACAGACTTTCACGCTTGAATGATTTTGGTAACCCCCTTGGATTTTGTAATGTAGAACATTGATTTATTTGATTTAAACATATTTTATTGCCACAGAATAACAAAGGGATTGGGCACAAGTTATATCAACATTATCGACGCCCTCTCCCAAAACAATTACAATATACACAATTTGGCAAACAAAAGTACAGGTCACATTAAGAAAAAGACAAAACATATAACTGTTAGCATTGCTCTCCGAAATTAAAATAATAAGATATATAAGTATAGATATAAGTATAACCTGTCCAAACTTGATCAAAATGCTGGCTGGTTTGTAACAACTATAAGTGAGAAAAGTCTAACAAAAGTAAGGCCGGAATAGACAATGATCCGAAATAGACAGGGGTCGGTATGGACCGATTATACTGTATTACTTAATTACAATTAAGGAAATTAAAATCTGTTGCTGGTTTTAATAAAATGGTGCACATTTCTAAAAATCATAATATTTGTGTCTATGAGCAGATTTTTGTTTCCTGAAAGTAGTAAATTTATATTAATATTGACATGCATACCATCAAGACTATCAAATATAACACGCCTCTGAAGGTCAAAACGAGGACATTCAAAGAAAAAGTGCAATGCATTTTCACACGGGTTACTACATACACATTCAGGATTTTCTACAAGATTTACTCTAAATAAATCATATCTTAAGGAACTGTTTTGGTGACGTAACTTTGTATGAATAATGTTTACTTTCCTATCACCAAATCCAACATACTTAGGAGGTTGTAACTGCTTTAAATCAGGTGTAATAGATTTTTTAAACATCGCAAAAGAAGGTGCAGATCTAGAGGAATTTTCCAGGTCATTCCATGAACATAAGGTTGAGGGTAAAAAGGACGAATTAGTAGATGAAAGTCTATAATATGGAATTACGAAATCATTTCTGTTTCTCAGAGAGTAAGGAGTGCTTTCCCCAACTGTATTGGGTAATATATCGTTGAGAAAGTCAGGTGTTAAGCCGTTTTTCATCTTATATAGTAGCTGTAATTTTCTTCTTTTACGTCTATCGGAAAGTGTTTCAAATCCCGTTTCCAAATAAAGAGAATCACTAGTTGCATATGAAGGTAAACCAGTTATAATTCGAGCTGCTTCACGTTGGGCCTTTTCCAATAAATTAGATTCAAAAACACTGCAACCATCCCATAACTCACTAGCATATTCCAAAACTGGTAAAATAAAAGTTTTATATATTTTTAACAACGTGTCACGTTTAAGTATATACTTTAATTTCCTAAGTGCATAAAAACATTACCATTTACTAATATTGCACAAACGTCATTTTGTTTTCACTCATTTACAGGTATTCGCCAAGGAAACATGTTAACCTTTCTTTTTTTGTTGAGTATCTTTTACAATAATTAAACATACTTTTATGCAAGTTATGATTTTCTTTTTCCTTGTGGTTTACTTATTATCATCATTCTGATTCAATCTCCTTTCCATTTGTTATTGGTTAAATCCACAAGTTTTTCCTCCGAACAGATAGTCATTTGTAATTTGCTAGCTGACAATAATGGTGTCCCTCAATTGGCACCCTTATATTATAGCCGCTGGCCCTAAGGTGGTATTTTCTAACCAGCTACTGATCAGAAAACATTGTATACTCAAATGGAAGTAGAGAAACTATTTCCGTGATTTTAAGTAATGAAATAGTGTATTCACCAAAAAAAACCAAAGTAGCATTAAGCTTTTGCTGACAAAACATTATGAGACAGTGTAAATACAGATTTGCTGGTTAAGTAAAAGTGTCCTTGGGTGACCTGTAACAGTAGAAAGAAGATATCCACTATATTTAGGCTTTGCTGTTCTGATGGATAACATGCCTTTAGTGTCCTGTAAAATCAGACTAATCTAGCGCTGATACAATGTATATCGTGTCCGTCTCGTACTATTCCGTTTTCCGTTCCAGCTTTTAGCTGCCATTAAACCGGAAGTTGATATTGGCAGGGACGCATGATACAGAGATGAACGCCAGGGCTGTATTTGAAGTTCTCTTTGTATTTATGTTTCTTGATCTAAGACTTACTGAAAGCAAAGAGAAACAAGATGCTGCCTTTAATGTCGGTGTAAATGATGCGCCTGAATTTAAGGCATCTAAACAAGTCAGGTAAAAAGGAACTCTACTTTACTGACACGTCAGCTGTGTACTTTAGCTGTACTTTGTTAAATTACTAGTACTGTGCATGTTAGTGTACTTCAAATTATGTCTATACATGTTCATTAGTCATTCACAGATACGATATGTCTAATTTAGTTGAAATTTACATATCAATTTCCATACATTTTACGGTACGCACTGAACTAAGGGCAGATGGAAAATAAATAAAAAGTGAAATGTGTCACGTTTAGTTTGTGTTCATATGCAAAAAATACACCCGAGACAGTATATGTTTTTGAAAGCTGAAGACAATCTGTCAAGTACATTCGTATTAGAAGTGGGCAATACCTTAAAAGAATGCAGCGTTTGAAAATACAACGTGTGTCTGTTAATACCATTGTAAATTAATTTTAGTTGAAACAAATTTTTTATTCGATAGTCAACAATATTACACATTCATCTATTGCATATGGGAAGGGAAAACAAGTTTAGTGCTTCTATTCATTCCTTTCGCAATTCATTTTCATGATGCCTCCCCTACTACTACACATTTTACTGATTACCCACCTGCATAAATCTAGAGTGTAAATGAAACAACTATAAGGGATGAAATACAAGTTGAATGGACTGCAGAGAGAAAAGATTAGTTATTTGTTGTTGGTTTTAAAGACCAGATATCAGGGATGTGCTTATATTTGGTGCACTGAAGTAAGTGATTGCACCTTGATTGTGACATCAGCATTTTGTGCGCTTGTGTTATGTTGTCGTGCCATGATATAATATTGGTTGATGCTGTCAAGAAGGAATAAAGTACAGTTGGTTTATTCACCTAAACACAATTTAAGAGTAACAATTCAATTACATTTATATAATTAGATAAACTACATATTTGTGTAAACTGGTATTTCAGGTCATTCTGTAAAATGTGTTAATGTTAAGATTATGTTTCACTTTGATTCAAGGATATACTCCATAGAAATACCAATGTTTCTAGTTTAAGGACCAAAAAGGTCATACAATTATCTTTGGTGACACATATTGGAAGGGAGGCAACTCTGTTTTAATGTGCTATGTCCTGTCTTTTAGAGAGCAAATGACATCAGAGAACTGCACATTCATGACAGTTTTCTGAATATCTTGATGAAATAGATCAGCGTTGTTTAAAGGGAATGATATACATTAAAATTGTCCTGTGATTTTGACTCTCAGAATATACATAATATAATATATAAATCTCCATTTACAACAAAACATTCAACCTTTGTTAAAATATCTCATTTAATCTACATGTTATAACATGAACTAAGCATCAGATTGTGATAATTAATTCTGAAAATTTTGTATAATTTTAATGTTGTAGATATCTGTTATACAATGTGAATCCCGGTGAGGGGTTCAACCTTAGGCGAGATGTCTACATACGTGTTGCCAACCTTGTCAAGCTTTTGAATGATGATGAACCTTGGGCATTGGTGCTGCCACCCTGGGGGAGGATCTATCACTGGCAGACAAGGGAGATCAGTCAGATAATGCTCCCTTGGTCTCTCTTTTTTGATCTTGAAAGCTTGAGGAGACACATACCTGTCCTGGAATTTGAGGAATTTTTAGCAGGTACACAAGCAATTTGAATACTTATTGTGTGTAATACCTGGCAATGTTTAAAATCAAAGGGAGAACAGTATGAAATATTTAAATGCTGACTGATATCAAATTCATCTGCTTTGTAAGACGTACCCGACCTGATATAAGCCTCAGATTGTAAACTAAGGGACATAACTCTTGTAACATGCTGAAAGTTGTTTACAATTTAACACAATGATGTAACATCACAATCAGTGTTCAAATGTTTTTGGTAAAGCCTACCCATAATGGTTACTCAGACTTTAAATAACATGAGTCTGCTGACTTTGATTCTAACTTGAACATTGACCAAGACTTGCCCTTATATTGAGCTAGATTTACATGTGTACTGACCAAGACTTTAATGCGTGAAGACCTGAATTCTTTCTTTGCTGATGAAAATGTACCAGTATGCTGTCAAAGATTAACTGGTATACTGACCTAGACTTACCTGTATACTGTCATAGATTTACCTGTATACTGTTCTAGACTTACCTGTATACTGTCATAGACTTACCTGTACACTGACCTAGACTTACCTGTATTCTGACCTAGACTTACCAGTATTCTGTCCTAGACCTACATGTAAACTGTCCTAGACTTACCTGTACACTGTCATAGATTTACCTGTATACTGTGCTAGACTTACCTGTATACTGTCATATACTTACCTGTACACTGACCTAGACTTACCTGTATTCTGTCCTAGACCGTCATGTAAACTGTCCTAGACTTACCTGTATACTGTTCTGGACCTACATGTATACTGTGTTTGATTTACCTGTATACTGTCATAGACTTACCTGTATACTGACCTAGACTTACCTGTACACTGTCATAGACTAACCTGTATACTGTCATAGACTTACCTGTATACTGACCTAGACTTACCTGTATACTGTTCTGGACCTACATGTATACTGTGTTTGATTTACCTGTATACTGTCATAGACTTACCTGTATACTGTCCTAGACTTACCTGTATACTGTTCTGGACCTACATGTATACTGTGTTTGATTTACCTGTATACTGTCATAGACTTACCTGTATACTGTCCTAGAAGTACCTGTATACTCTCCTAGACTTACTTGTATACTGTCCTAGACTTACCTCTATACTGACCTAGACTTACCTGTATACTGTCCTAGACTTACCTGTATACTGACCTAGACTTACCTGTACACTGTCATAGACTAACCTGTATACTGTGTAAGACTTACCTGTATACTGTCATAGACTTACCTGTATACTGACCTAGACTTACCTGTATACTGTTCTGGACCTACATGTATACTGTGTTTGATTTACCTGTATACTGTCATAGACTTACCTGTATACTGTCCTAGACTTACCTGTATACTGACCTAGACTTACCTGTATACTGTTCTGGACCTACATGTATACTGTGTTTGACTTACCTGTATACTGTCATATACTTACCTGTATACTGACCTAGACTTACCTGTATACTGACCTAGACTTACCTGTATACTGTTCTGGACCTACATGTATACTGTGTTTGATTTACCTGTATACTGTCATAGACTTACTTGTATACTGTCCTAGACTTACCTCTATAATGACCTAGACTTACCTGTATACTGTCCTAGACTTACCTGTATACTGACCTAGACTTACCTGTACACTGTCATAGACTAATCTGTATACTGTGTAAGACTTACCTGTATAGTGTCATAGACTTACCTGTATACTGACCTAGACTTACCTGTATACTGTTCTGGACCTACATGTATACTGTGTTTGACTTACCTGTATACTGTCATAGACTTACCTGTATACTGTCATAGACTTACCTGTACTGACCTAGACTTACCTGTATACTGTTCTGGACCTACATGTATACTGTCATAGACTTACCTGTACTGACCTAGACTTACCTGTATATTGTTATAGACTTACCTGTACTGACCTAGACTTACCTGTATACTGTCATAGACCTACCTGTACTGACCTAGACTTACCTGTATACTGTCATAGACTTACCTGTATACTGTCATAGAATTACCAGTACTGACCTTGACTTACCTGTATACTGTTAGACTTTCCCGCATGCTGTCATAGACTCTCCTATGTAGTGTTGTAGACTTCCACTGCTTTGCTGACCTAGATTTGTATGCTGACCTAGACTGAACTCTAAACTGACATTTACTACATTTGTATGCTGACTTAGCGTTATCTGTATACAGATATAGACTTAATAATGTATTGACCTAGAATTATCTGTGTGTTGACTTAGATTTACCTATAAACTGACCCAAACTTACCTTTATACTGACCTAGACCTACATGTATCTGTTTTCAAATCAAAACTTAGGGTGTTATGACCTTTACATACCTGTCTGTTGACAAAATGACCCTGTATTTGGTGACTTACACCTAACCTTTGTGTTGGTAGTGAGTGAGGAGCCGGTGATTGATGAAGTGTACTACTTACAAAGGTACAAGGAGGGCTGGACCAAGTGGGAGGAGAAGATGGACATTCGTGAATGTTTGGACAAACATGGATATTCCAAGGTCAGTGTCACGTTTATGGTAATTTGCATAATGGCAATGACTATCATTACTGAGATATTTTCTCAAAATTTCATTTAAAGTTTTTTACAGTTTCAGAAATAGAAATCCAGATCATATCAAAACAGTGAAGCATTAGTGAAAAATTAATAGTCTTCAGTTGTTTACTCAGAGACTTAGTGTTAAAGTTAGCTGTTAAAAAAATTTCAGTCTTTCATCAAATTTTTTTAAATACATTTTACCATGTTAACAAATTAGAAGCCATTCTGAGTATTGAAAAAAAACTGTAATTGATATATCACAGAACATATCTCTCTTTCTCTCTCTCTCCAAAAAATTAATAAATTTGATTGACTCTTCCTAAATCATCACTTTTAAATACTAACGCAGGGCAAAGACAGTCGCTGGCATCACTGGTTCTTTGGTTATGGAGATGATGTTTATGCCAAAAAGTTTGAATGCATGTCATACATGGGACATGCAGGCTTCATCAAACCATTTCTAATGCACAATTCATCAGCGAGGTAGGTTGGAGATATTTTTAAGTTTGAAAGTAAGACCAACATGCTCCATATGTACATGTTGCTCTTTAAGATGCCATTTGAAATTGAATATAAAATCATATTATTGCTTATGTATGAAATAGTTTTTCTGCTATTACCACCAGGTGTCAGCTTTATGCAAAGAAGTTTTCCACCAGGTGTCAGCTTTATACAAATAGTTTTCTACCAGTTCTCACTATTGTATAAAGTAATTTTCCACCAGGTGTCACCCTCGTATAAAGTAGTTTTCCACCAGATGTCTCTCTTTTATAAAGTAGTTTTCCACCAGATGTCACCCTCGTATAAAGTAGTTTTCCACCAGATGTCTCTTTTTTATAAAGTAGTTTTCCACCAGGTGTCACCCTCGTATAAAGTAGTTTTCCACCAGATGTCTCTCTTTTATAAAGTAGTTTTCCACCAGGTGTCACCCTCGTATAAAGTAGTTTTCCACCAGATGTCACTCTTTTATAAAGTAGTTTTCCACCAGGTGTCACCCTTGTGCATAGTAGTATTCCACCAGGTGTCACTCTTTTATAAAGTAGTTTTCCACCAGGTGTCACCCTTTAACGTAGTAGTATTCCACCAGATGTCACCCTTGTACAAAGTAATTTTCCACCAGGTGTCACTCTTTTATAAAGTAGTTTTCCACCAGGTGTCACCCTTTAACGTAGTAGTATTCCACCAGATGTCACCCTTGTACAAAGTAATTTTCCACCAGGTGTCACCCTTGTACATAGAAGTATTCCACCAGATGTCACTCTTTTATAAAGTAGTTTTCCACCAGGTGTCACTCTTTTATAAAGTAGTTTTCCACCAGGTGTCACTCTTTTATAAAGTAGTTTTCCACCAGGTGTCACTCTTTTATAAAGTAGTTTTTCCACCAGGTGTCACTCCTTTATAAAGTAGTTTTCCACCAGGTGTCACCCTTTAATCTAGTAGTATTCCACCAGATGTCACCCTTGTACAAAGTAATTTTCCACCAGGTGTCACCCTTTAACATAGTAGTTTTCCACCAGATGTCACCCTCGTATAAAGTAGTTTTCCACCAGGTGTCACTCTTTTATAAAGTAGTTTTCCACCAGGTGTCACTCTTTTATAAAGTAGTTTTCCACCAGGTGTCACTCTTGTATAAAGTAGTTTTCCACCAGGTGTCACCCTTTAACGTAGTAGTATTCCACCAGATGTCACCCTTGTACAAAGTAATTTTCCACCAGGTGTCACCCTTTCACGTAGTAGTTTTCCACCAGATGTCACTCTTTTATAAAGTAGTTTTCCACCAAGTGTCACTCTTTTATAAAGTAGTTTTCCACTTGGTGTCACTCTTTTATAAAGTAATTTTCCACCAGGTGTTACTCTTGTATAAAGTAACTTTTCACCAGGTGTCACCCTTGTACATATTAGTTTTCCACCAGTTGTCACTCTTGTACAAAGTAATTTTCCATCAGGTGTTTTCCTAGTTTATAAAATTTAGTGTTCCACTAGGTGACACTGGTAGCCATCACTTTAGTGTTATAATAGTAGGATAAAACCACCAGATGTTATAATGTTATCATCAATCTTTCTTGTCTTTCTTATTTATCTACTCAATATTTCTTATTCCTTCTTTTCTTCTTAGATTCTACCTTCTAATGATATCAGTCATTGCATACAAATTGAACCTGAATAAAACTTAATTTGACCACACCTGATCTGATGATCTGTATTGCTGTATTTCATTGCTTCTTATGACCTTGACCTAAGTGAACTCACTATAAATCTTTAGAATAACAATGGCAGGTCCTTTGTAGATTAGTGATGCTTGACAGAGCGGAAACACTTTTACATGATCATTTTGGACAAAAACGTAGCTGGGAAGTAAGTTTTTGTGTGGTGCTTGGCTAGCTCTCTATCTCTCTGCCTGCACACTAGCTGCATATATACCATGATTGTATGATGGACAAACAAAACAGCTCATTCTAATTTTTTAGAGCATGGAGGTAGGGAGAAATGGAAACAAAGTAATCTACTTTCCAGGAATCTAGGCAAGTGACAAGAGGCCCTGCTACAATGTATATCATCATTTAATGTAACAAAACAGAATAATTTGCCAAAAATGTATATTGTCCTTTGTGCTAAACAAACTGAACTACAATATATGTAAGTAATTTACCTATGTTAAGTATCTGATATTACCCTTCAACTGCTGAATTTATTTGAAAGAAAAAGAAGGTTATGGTTATGAAGCTTAGCACTTAGTACTTGTACTACCCTTGTTTAAAGTTGCTTTAGAATTTTTATACACCTCAGCAAGCATTTTTTGTGGAATTCTGAACAAATTTTTATTCATTCAATGATTCAAAGTCTTTAACTTTGCTATAGCCTGCATGCTTATTGTTAAGTTCATAGTATCTAATGTCTCCTCAGGTTGATTTAATCCCAGAAAAAATCGTTTGCAGTCTGCTTAGAGCATGTAAATATGAAAGTATTTAAAACATTCTAGACCCTACGAAAAACCCTTCTGTAAAAGTGGCTGTAACATTTGAAATAAAGCTCCAGCTGTTCCACATACACTAATCATACACCTGCACTAGTCACACTTGTACAATTAAGGCCAGGATCATATCTATATTGTTTTAAGGTGGACATACCTGTACTGGTCACACTTACAGGGATAAGATGGAGTTCACACCTGTAGAAATAAGATTGAGGTCATGGCTTCACACACCTGTACTGGTCACACTAACAGAAAAAAGATTTAGGTCACAAATCCACACACCTGTACGGGTCACATGGAAAGCAATAAGGTGGAGTTCATACCTGCACACACATGTAGTAGTCACATTTACAGAGAGAAGAAGGAAGTCACATTTTTACACACCTGTACTGGTCACACTTACATAAATAAGATGAAGGTAACACCTTTATTCACCTTTTCTGGTCTTACCTTGTGCAGTTAAGATTGGGATCACACTGGTAGGTATGGAAGATGAAACACCATTAAGATGGAGGTCACAGCTAGTGTTAAGTACTGATAACACATGTATAAGTACATACAAAATTAAGTTTGCATGATGTCACATCAACAGGTTTAGAAAATAGACACCTTAAGTGAACACAATTATAGGAATAAGATGTTAGTCACACTTTAGTTGGCAGACACACTTGTTCTTGTCACCTTACAGAGATTTAGTGGGGGTCACACCTGTAGGTAGTAGAAACACCTGTGTTTGTCTCTCTTACAAAGATACGGTGGAGGTCACACCTGTATATAGTATACACACCTGTACTTCACCCTACAGAGATACGGTGGAGGTCACACCTGTATATAGTATACACACCTGTGTTTGTCACTCTTACAAAGATATGGTGGAGGTCACACCTGTATATAGTATACACACCTGTACTTCACTGTACAGAGATACAGTGGAGGTCACACCTGTATATAGTATACACACCTATACTTCACCGTACAGAGATACGGTGGAGGTCACACCTGTATAAAGTATACACACCTGTACTTGTCACCTTACGGAGATACGATGGAGGTCACACCTAAAGTATGATCTAATCTGTAAGATAAGGTAGCAGTCACACTCTTAATACTCATTCCTTACTAAAGCTATTCACATCAAAAGCCTGTCATGAACTATTAACATTTCAACCCTACAGGTCTGTATTCTTGGACAGAGCTGAGACACTTATCCATGGCATGTACAGTGAGTGGTCTCCCCTCTACTGGAGTGTAAGTCTCACACACACTTTCTTTTCAAGTTCCTAAATTGATCCTGTAATGTGATACCGTTGGATGTTCAACAGGAACTAATAAAATCTGGTCAGTTTTTTGTACAGTAAAACCTGCCTTAAAAGCCATCTGCATGTAAAGGTCACCTGTCTTTAAAGGTGACTAGTTTAGTTACCAATGCAATGCAATATCATAATGGTGGGTTAACTTGGAGCTTGTGCTAGTCTATAGCTAGTCATGTAGTCATACTGAAAATCTAGACTTGCACAAGTCCCAGATTCATTCCATTTAGCCTTTGCCTGGCCTCACTTGTAGGATTATTCACTATTTTCAGAATTAGTTATGGAACTGTTTTAAATCAGAAAAGTTATTGTGTGTCTCACAAATTTGTGTGGTTTTATTTTTGTACCATTTAAATTTGGTTTTTTTAACAATTGTCCAGCTGTGGAGTGTAAATTAACTTTTAAAATCAGTGTGTAAGCCTTGTGATAAAAATGTTGAACAAATGATTTTACAATTTCCCAGGTTCCACTTACTGTACCATGTAGTGCCATGAAGATTGTGAAAAGAAAACAACTTTAACTAACATCCCATGCTTTCCCAGAATGCATCACAATTAAAATGTAGTTGTTATGTACCATGGGAGATGTTTTCATATCATCTTCATTCCACATCATCATAATAATTTATGTGATTATGTTGGTTTTTTTCAAATGTAGGTATTTCTTATCAGTTTTCTTAGAATAGAGCATGTACTGTCAAAAAGCCTACCCATCCACATCTGTGTTGTTCATGTAGTGAAATTACTAACAAATTACTAACCATACTGAGCTTTGATAACTAACAGAATGTTCAACTTGCAAAACCTACATTGATGACCTAAATAGTGTAATTCATTCTGTAACATTTCATTCTAAACAGGAAAACTCCTATTGAATTATATAACGAGAGTTATATTCAGAGATGAAAAGTTGAATTCATCTGTTCAAGTTGACATTCTTTTAATTGTGTTTCGTCTATAGTCATAATGGTTTCTATCATTTGAAGTTGACTTTCAATTTCTGGCTATAAAAGTAAACAGAGTATAGATAATAAGCATACTTTTTGAAAATACAATAATAATAATAAGTATATATCACTGATATTTTACAAAATATATGGAATAAATTGAACTCCAGATATGTAGGTTTGATTAGTAAATAGTGATAACTGCTACAAAAACAGAGACATATTGCTTCAATAGGTCTTTCTTATTATATTCTTATTGAATATTTACAGGGCAGAAGAAGTATGGTGTATGCCAAACATCTGAGAGATATTGGAGATAGTTTCCGTGAAAAATATCTCAGCTCCACTGACAAGAAAGATAAAACTTTGCTGGATGACTGGACAAAAATGAATGTAATATATATGTAACAAATTTCAATGTCATTTCCATGCCTTTGCTAGGATTTGAACTCAGAACATCTGGTTTACTAGTCTGGTGATCACCCAACAACTTCTCTTTAACAATATATTGTAGCTAGTATTTACCAGGGTTACATACTCCCCCTCCAGGAAATAACTTGTCTTTTCCTAGAGTTACAGAAATGCTTATTGGGCATGGCAAAGTCTTATTCCTAAGTCCCACCTTGGGCCAAAATATGATGGAGGTCAATTTTATTTCCATGCCTCCACTAGGATTCACACCCAGGATCTTTGGCTTACTAGATTGATACTTGACTGATCGAGCTTAGGAAAAGTTCTTCCTATATTAGGACTAGTATTTACCACGGTTACGTATATATTGATATCCATAAAAAAGTGATTCTTTTCATGAGGAAGTACTGATGTATTGTTCAGTTTACGTTGTTTGTATTGTAAAGTACAGTATATTATTCTCATTATGTCTTGTGTTATATGAAGAATATGTACATACATAGTTACTTTGTTTTACTTAGAAGTACATTGTACATGTTTAATTAAATGCTGTTATCAGTAACTAATGTAATTCAGTAATACCTACATCTCTTGTCTAATCATCTTGTTCATATAACTTGTTATAATTTGTGATACAGAAAAAGCATGGTGATGCTAAAGGTGGTCCTTACCTAGCTATACATCTGAGAAGGAAAGACTATCTGTATGCCCATGGAGGGGAGATACCCAGTATCCAACATGTCCCTAAAAAGGTTCAACCCATACTGAAAAAACACAAGCTCAAGAAAGTCTTCATTGCCACAGATGCACCTGATGAAGGTACTAGATACTAGATAAGTTAAACCTTACCTTTAACCTTACCTCATTATATTGAACTGTACCTTGACACCTTTAACCTTACCTCAGTATATTGACCTGTACCTTGACACCTTTAACCTTACCTCAGTATCTTGACCCGTACCTTGACACCTTTAACCTTACCTCAGTATCTTGACCCGTACCTTGACACCTTTCACCTTACCTCAGTATCTTGACCTGTACCTTGACACCTTTAACCTTACCTCAGTATCTTGACCTGTACCTTGACACCTTTATCCTTGCTCATTTCATATATATACATTTATGTATTGTTGAATTGATATGCATTCAAAACTAAATGAAATGATTTTTTTAAAAAATATATATATCTTTTAATTAGATAACTTTGAAGAAGTATATAATTACTGAAGGGAAAAAGGCTGATAGTTTTATTTACAGTTCAAGACTTTACAGTTTAAACCTGTACAATTTAACATTGAACTATGATTTTGAGATGAATCTAACGGACAGTATATTGTATGTATGGGCTTATTTACCATGTTTGTGGTTACAACATTATAAATAAACTGTTGGAAAACAATGTTGGGACATTTTACGGAGAAACAGTATAAAAGCAGGTTGTATGTGCTTTTAGAGCTAAAAATATTTACTGTTGCTCCACAGAGTTTGAGTATCTAAAACAGCAGTTTGGTGAGAAGATTGAAGTTTATCGGTATAAACCCACCCCAGAGGAACATGAAAAATATAAAGATGGTGGAGTAGCTATCATTGATCAGTGGATCTGTGCCCATGCCAGGTAGGTTCTTTGTCATAATATCTAAAACCTGGTTTGTCAATGTTACAGTCTGTCACACTTCTCTTTAAACTTCATGTTTGTTTTGTTAATGTCATGGATTTTTTTAACTTCTTCAAAAATATTTTAGCTATATTACAAAGTTGAATTCAAGTTTTTAATTTGGTCAAAATTTGCATGGAAGTTTTTTTTAGCAGTAAAGTCATCTTCATTTTCCTGAAAATGAGAGGGGATAGGAAGATAGGGGATGTAGGGGGACTGGGTGCATATATGTTCCAAAATCTAAATGCTGAAATGGTTTCTAACTGAACTTGTATCATTTAAATGATTTCATGTCTTCCATTTTTGTTATGAAATTTTCAGAACTGCACAGATAGGGTAAATTAACTAAAAACCCTTGGATTTTAAAGATGTGCTATTACATTGGTTGATTTTGTTCTGTTCTAGGTATTTCATTGGAAGTTATGTATCAACATTTTCATTCCGAATTCAAGAAGAGCGAGAGATTTTAGGATTTGAGCCAGAAATGACTTTCAATAGGCTCTGCAATGATGACAGCGATACCTGTGAACAGCCTTCTAAATGGACCATCAAATATTGATCATCTGTGCTCTAGAAATCCTTTATTTGCCGTCAAAGCTGTTCCAATTTCTGTTACACATTTGATGAATTATTGATTTTTTTTTTATGAAATTTCTTCTGTATATACATGTTTCAAGTTTTGAAATGACATTTTCATATAAAACAAGTATTTGCCGTGAAATTGTTGATTTTTGAGGGGTTTTCGTTGATTTTGTAGGAATTTCTTAAATCCTGATTTGTTATTTCTCTACATAATGGTAACAATTATAAGTGGAAATCAGCTTCTGGTACTATTGTCATAATTTGTGAGTACTTTCTATCCTCAATATTATGTGTTGACTAAATACAATTTGGAGCTCTTATGAAAAACCTGGAAATTTAAACCCTGCAAAAATATATGATTTTGCAGTAACATTGAAGTGTTTGATAAATTGGTGTTTAATATGTTTGGTACTAGTCACAAAATATTCTTTTGAATATCAATAATATTTAAAAACAAATACTTTAATTATACAGGATTAAAGAATTTATTACTGAAAATTTTGATGTACTGCAGCAGATAGTAAAAGTATTGAATGATTATTCATATCTGTAAAAGGATACATATTTCCAGTAGATACCCCAGCACATGTTTTTGTGTGATGGTTGTATAACTAAATGTGAATGACATTTTCTTGCTGTTAAGACTTCTGGTCTGAGGTTATAGTAAAATTGTATGGAGACATTGAAATGACATTTAAAGCGGTTGAAGATACAAGTAGAAAATAACTTTAGAATTGATAATAGATAGAAGGAATTTACAGTCCACTATATCTTTATGTTAGTGTACATACACTAGGTAATAGAGAGATTACTTCTAATCACATCTAAGATTTCTATGTGAAATGTAGATTAACACATATGTTAAATGCTGTATTGCTGCATAAAGATTTGAAGTCTCTACAGAAAACACCAAGGAAATATTTTCCCAAACATAAACTTTATTTTGGAAGGTTTTCAAATTTCCTTCTGATATATACATATATATGGTCAGTGTCTTAAAATATAAGTTGTATTTTGGTGAGGGTGAAGAAAGAGCCACTTTTGTCTTTCTGTCCCACGCCCAATGTTGTTCAGTCGTTGTTTACCTGATGATGATGTATGCCAAAGTAATTGCTCTATGCAGAAACAGTTTCAATCTTCAACGGAAATGACAGTGATTTTATGAATTTTTAACAGACTTGTTCATTACCACATATAAAACTGTTTCTTTCAAAGTTTTTTTTTTTTTTGTCATTTATACGTAATTTTTAAGAAATTCAGAAAGTAAATCAGAGGTCAAGGTTGTAACAAAAGGTTAAAGGTCAAATGATTTCCAGGGTTTCATAGTTTTGTACACATACTCGATGTGATGAGTACAATATTTTTTTAAACAGTGATGGTGTGAATGATAAGTGAATTTTGTATAATATTATTGTGTTTTTTTTTAGCAAACTTTGTAATCAGAAGTTGGTAATATCGTAATTACAATTTATTCCATACAGAACTTCTTTTAAATTAAGTTTATAAATGTGTATATGGGATTAAGAACAGCATGACTTTCATCGTAAATAAAAAGTACCAGAATTTCACATGATAAATATTGATGATTGTTAATGATTTGAAAGAGCTTTATTTTTATTTATGTTTGTTAAGTCAGATCTGTTATAGTTGTTTTACATGTAGCTTTAGTCTGCCATTCAGCTTTTGATAGTATGTTGAGCATAATTCTCTAACAACGCCTAATTCACGTATTATCAAAATAAGTTTTTCTTCCAATTGTTTCAATATCTCTCCGTCACTTCAATTCCTCTTTAAAATATATGACAGATCAGAAAATAAATTTACAGTTTATCATGTAATTACAATACCACAATACTACTACTGCCACGAACTATGTTTACATTTCTGTAAACAAATAAAGCTTTTAATTGTATTGCAAAGTAATTCTCAACTTTGATCAAAATATCAAATGCCAATTTTTCAAAAAAAAAAGCAAAAGTAAAAAATATTCTTTTCTTTTGAAAAACACTATACATCATGCTTGGTTGATACTGCATTCTTTTGTTTTTGGAAAGAAAAAGATTTTGGTTCCTTTTGATTGATAACTATCTATAAAAAGTCTCATCGACTTATTTTTTTTAATAATAATTCTGTTTTTGATGTTTTTGTTCTCTTGTTTTTAGTTATAAAGATGGTTTTTGGATTGTAAACATATTTGGATCCTTACACTCACTTTTTTTATCCTGCCAATCTAAAACATATGTATATTTTTTTTTCAAATACATTTTTTACATGCTGAATCTAATATAATCTGTAAGCTATGTATATATAAATAGATCACAAAGAAATCATAATTGGTACTCTTAATTACCATAGTTTTTTATATACTTTACATAAATACATGAAGGCAGAGATCTTACTTGTAATCTAGTACATGTAAGTATATTTCTTGTATCTGTCTTTCCAAAAATACAGCTAAAAGACACAGAGATTGTTTGATTGTATCGTAAGACATGATAAAATGATTTGCTGTAAAACTGCATTAAGAATTGTAGAAGTTAAGTTAATCATGTTCAAAATGCAGTTCATTATACATGTAGATACATGGAATACAAACATCTTGACAGTTAGAGCGATTACAATCACGGCAATATAATAATAACATATGTGTAAACCGGATATATTTCTTCACACTTCAGCTACATGCATTTACTTATATGCACATGTACAAATCCATTCTATTGACACAATATTGGATTTTGGAATTCCGACCAATATACACGAAATTAAAGCTACAATTAATTCGCTCCCCATCAAAAGTTCAAAGATCATGGACACGTTTACTTTGAGTCACTAGTGATGATTAAAAAGTAATCATGATCTATAATTACAAGGAACCTTATTTGAATATCACTTTGAATAAGACTTGAATTCTTTTATTTTCAAAATTTCTAAATTGTGTCTTTCTGTATCCAATGATCAGGATATTTGAAAGAGTTTCAGTGAATTGCAGAATATATGATTTAGATATGTAATGGTATGTTTATGATTCTAATTAATGTTATACCCTAGTAAGTGGCCTTCTTGTACCCTGATCACGTACAGAGTTCTAATTATCAACATTTCTGAGCAGCAAAGTACCACTGATAATTCCACTCACATCCTGTATGCATTCACTTGACAACAACTGCGTAAAAGAGGAAAGTGTGAAGGATTTTTCTGAGAATTTCACACGGTACTTAAAATGAAACAGAAGATCGGTGAGGTACTGAACTCGAGAACATTTCACGTGTAAACGTACATTGTAAATGTATAGCAAAGAAGCATTGTATTTGTGTGACTTAATTTCTGAAGCTCTGAAAAGAGATTTTGTTGCTTAAGAATAAGAGGGTAAGACTAGTAGAATTGAAGTTTAGAAAAAGTTATTTATGTTTGACTAGAAATCAATGCCAAATACATTTGTGTTCACATTTTTTTTATTGTATTTCATATGTAATCGATTACATATATACATTTATATACAGATCTGAAATAGGCATTTATCTGAATAATTTAAGATACATTTAAATGTTTACATACCACACAGGTACTACACCTGTTACATTATGATAGTACATCCACTGATATGGGAACACAACATGGAATTGGATTAATTTATGTCCTCTTCATTAATGGGCTGGTATCATACTAGGTTTGAAATAACAAAGTGAAACAAAACAATCTTCCAATATTGTTGTATATTGTACATTACTTACCTATGCAAGGTGTGATTGTTACTTGTTATGAGAAATTGATTATCCTGTGATTTTATAAATATGAGACCGAAAGCTTACCAGTATAACAAATGTGTTTTTTTTTTAAATGGTGCACATATATGTATATGTGTATGGAAGGCTGTCGTATTTCTGTTCATGTTTGGATTGAGACTGTCATTCTAAACAAAATGTACTGTAAGAAGATAGTGATAGTTTCTTTTTGAAATTAATTGTCCTGTATTTTCAGAAGAAAAGTTTCTTTGCATAATGACTTGTAGATTTATATTTTGATTGCTGTTCCATCTGGCAAAGCTCTAAAACAATTTATTCCTGAACAAAAAGATTTGTTCATAATTGTAAAAGAGTATTGAAATTGAGTTTTTGCTAAGTTAGTCTGACTTAAGACTTGGGAGACCAAATAGTTTGTTCACGTTCATATAATGTTTGAAGTTTTAACCAACAGTTTGAAAATAAATCACTTTTATGTTAAATTTTTGTGGTTCTTTTTTCTATATTATAACATAAATTTGAGAGAGAGAGAGAGAGAGAGAGAGAGAGAGAGAGAGAGAGAGAGGATGTTTGAACAATACTGGAGCGCCGTTACAAATGTTACTGTTATGTATAAACGATTAATTAGAAAACCAATGATTTGTCATATTAAGTTGCAGAGTATGAATGCAGATACTTATAATAATGTATGTTCTTATGTAAGATGAGCTCTGGTTGGTCGAAACCTCTTCGCTCCCAATTTCTACTTGGGGAACATTTTTCGCGACACTTTGTCACACAAAGCATCAATTGACTTAGGGAAGCATTGTGACTGAACCTCAAACCAGAAAAAAAGTGGAAGGATACATCAGAGGTACTACCAGAGTGAAACGGAGGTCAGTAACTCTGGGAGATCAGAATGGGAGAGAAAAAAAAGTGGAGAATCCGGGTATCGATCCCGGTACCTCTCACATGCTAAGCGAGCGCTCTACCACTTGAGCTAATTCCCCTACATAGCAGATAAAATTTGTGTCAAATCCCTGACTTTTGTGATAGAAGTTCGGACACCGGCACCGGTGCCTACGATTCGTACGAACAAGCAGTCGGACATAAATTAAGTACCTCCACAAGTAGTTGGGACATTCGAGTGTTGTATAATGGGTACAAATACAGTCCCTTAATAAGGTGACGATTATCTAGATAATATTGCGCTGTAATTACGGCACTACCAAATTACTTAACATCGATTCCTGTCGCTGTAAGTTATCATATAGTGGGCTCTACCGTTTACTGTGTGACGAATTACAGTCTTG